TACACAATTCACTAGAATCATGTAGGACAACCAGGAAATTCTTTTTAAGGATTTCATGCTAGACTGTTTTTTGTTTTTTTTTTTTTGAGACGGAGTCTCGCTCTGCCGCCCAGGCTGGAGTACAGTGGCGGGATCTCAGCTCACTGCAAGCTCCGCCTCCCGGGTTCACGCCATTCTCCTGCCTCAGCCTCCCGAGTAGCTGGGACTACAGGCGCCCGCCACCTCGCCCGGCTAGTTTTTTGTATTTTTTTAGTAGAGACGGGGTTTCACCGTGTTAGCCAGGATGGTATCGATCTCCTGACCTCGTGATCCACCCGTCTCGGCCTCCCAAAGTGCTGGGATTACAGGCTTGAGCCACCGCGCCCGGCCTATGCTAGACTGTTAATAGCTTAGTGAGTCATACTTTTATTTGAATATGTTAAACTCCAAAAAAAAAAAAAAAATTCTTAAGTCAAAAGGTTGCATCGTTCATGGTTATTTCCCACAAGCTCAGTAGGTAGGGCTAATAATACTTAGTACCCTAATCTCCATCAGGAGTGAAGATGAAACTGGCTGCTATAAACGTGTCCCTACCCTTTCATGCTGTCAGCCCATTTTGGGACTCTACCCTAAACATGCACTTGAATGGAAGCACTAAACTCAGGGTCGTGGCGGTGTGGCTGGAGGAGGGGAACAGGCTCAGAAGCCGGCCCCGGGTAGGAGGGGCGAGGGAGCGATCCGGGCGCCGCTCCGCCCCTCGCATGCGCCTCTTGTTTTAAAAAAAAAAAAAAAAAAAAAAAAAAAAAGGCGCGGCCGTGTCTTGCGCAGGCGCCGTGCTGCGTGAGCCTTAGCCGCGCAAGCTGGGTGAAGGGAGAATCTGGTACCTTTTGCGGTTCCCACCAAGAGTGACAAAACCTTGCTAGTGTGGGAACTGAGCTCTGGACCCACGGCCGAGGCTTTGTATGTGAGCCGGAGCCACGGTGGAGGGAGGGATGGAGAAAGCCGCCCACTCGCTAACTGGGAATTCCAGAGTCCTGCTTCAGCACTTCACCTGCCTCAGCCTCTGCTGAAGGACTCTGGTTTGTTTTGTTTTGTTTTTTGAGACACACTGTTGCTCTGTTGCCCAGGCTGTGGTGCAGTGGCGTGATCTCTGCCCACCGCAGCATCCGCCTCCGGGGTTCAAGCAATTCTGCCTCGGCCTCCGGAGTAGCTGGGATTACAGGCGCCCGCCACCACGCCCGGCTAATTTTGTATTTTAGTAGAGGTGGGGTTTCACCTTGTTGGCCAGGCTGGTCTCGAACTCCTGGCCTCAGGTGATCCGCCCTCCTCGGCTTCCCAAAGTGCTGGGATTACAGGCGTGAGCCACCGCGCCCGGCCCGCTGAAGGACTCCTAATTCTAGAGGGGACCAGCAGACAGCTACCCCCAACAGATTTTTAGAGTCCCGGAGAGGTACCTCTCCACAGTCATCACGCTTTAACTTCCAGGGCTTCTTAAAGTTTAGGATCTTAAGAAGAAAACTTGTTGGTTAAGGGGGAAGTGTTTTGAATTGCATCCTTCTCGAAGAAGGGTTTGGGGAATATGAAGGCATGGGCAGTTTTGTTTTCTGGGCTTGAGATTTCATATGCTTACTTGGCGTGGGACCACCCCCACGGCTTTCTCTGTTCACAGCATTTTCCCAGTTTGACCTTCTGTATTCAGTCCTGGTCTTTCCAAATGCTGCAGCGACCCATCCTGGTTTCTATGTCGTCGTTAAGTTTTATTCAGCAATGGCTGCCCACGGAGCCCAAAAGGCATGCAACCGGAAGCAGCTTTTTCAGACATTTCCAGTCAAGGTGGCTCCAAATACGGAATTCCCAGCTCCGCTGAAATGAAGTGCTGAATTCAATAATAGATTAGCATTTGTCCAGCATTCTGGTTTATAGAATATGTTCAGATGCATTGCCACACTAATCTTTCAGTTCTCTGGTTTTTTTAGATTAAGAAACTCAAACTCAGGATGGTTAAGTGACTTGCTTAAGGTTCCTGACAAAAGTTACGGAAGCTTGAGGTTGAACTCAAACCTACTGATGCTAAACCCCATGTTATTTTGTGCTGTCCCTTTTTAAGAAATCTCAGCTTGGGCAACATAGTGAGACCCCATCTCTACAGAAAAAAATTAAAGATCAGGCTGGGCACGGTGGCTCATGCCTGTAATTCCAGCACTTTGGGAGACTGAGTTGGACGGATCACTTGAGGACAGGAATTCGAGACCAGCCTTGGCAATATGGCAAAACTCTATCTCTAGTAAAATACAAAAAATACAGTTCCCTATTGTGCTGTGCCTCAGTGGCCTCCTGTGTAGGGTAGAGGTAGCAATAGCACCCACCCCATAGATGACAATACAAGTACATCTCCTAAAATGTGCCTAGAACATAGGAAGCACCCAGTAAATGTGAGCTGCCAGCAGCACCACCAGCGGTACCATACCAGAGGCCAAAAGTCAGTAGACCAGGACCTTTGATTGTAAGTAATGTTTACCTCTGCCTAATTTTGTTAGTCGTGGCTCCTCCTCCACGGTGAAAGAGGGCTAAGTGCTTGTCTACAGAGGCAGAGGGAAGAGTGAGCACAGCTGGGAGAATTCTGCTCAGTCTGTAATGGGCCTGGGGGAGAAGAGCCGCAGGGAACAGAGATGGGTGTCAGCAGCTGCAGAGAGGGGAGGCTGCAGCCGAGCGAGCGTGGTGGATCACACCTATAATCCCAACACTTGGGAGGCTGAGATGGGAGGATTGCTTGAGCCCAGGAGTTCAAGATCAGCCTGGGAAGAAAAACAAGACCCCATCTCTACAAAAAATAAAATAATTAGCCAGGCATGGTGGTTCCCACCTGTAGTCCCAGCTACTTGGAAGGCTGAGGTGGGAGGATCACTTGAGCCCAGGAGTTCAAGGCTGCAGTGAGCCATGATTGCATCACTGAACTGAATCCTGGAAAACAGACTGAGACCCTGTCTCTAAAAAAAAAAGAAAAACGAGAGAGAAAAGGGAGGCTCTGAGAAGGGGAAGGTAAGCCCTGCAGGAGGCTGCCCTTTTGGCCTTAAGGAGGTGCTCTTGGAATTACTTAATGTTCCTTAAGAGAGCAGCATCTTGATCTGTTAATTAAAAATGGGATCTAAGGCCGGATACAATGGTTCATGCTTGTAATACCAGCACTTTGGGAGGCTGAGGTGGGTGTATCACTTGAGGCCAGGAGTTCAAGACCAGCCTGGCCAACATGGAGAAACCCCATCTTTACTACAAATACAAAAATTGACCAGGTGCAGTGGCTCACGCCTGTAATCCCAACACTTTGAGAGGCCAAGGAGGGCGGATCACCTGAGGTTGGGAGTTTGAGACCAGCCTGACCAATATGAAGAAACCCCATCTCTACTAAAAATACAAAATTAGCCGGGCGTGGTGGTACATGTCTATAATTCCAGCTACTCGGGATGGTGAGGTAGGAGAATCGCTTGAAGTCAGGAGGTGGAAGTTACAGTAAGCTGAGATCATGCCACTGCACTCCAGTCTGGGCAACAGAACAAGACCCTGTCTCCAAACACAAAGAAACAAAACCACACAAACTTTGAGGGGGAAAGACCGAAGACGGGAAAGGCAAGCTGGAAGGGAAGGTTCTAACTCAAGACTCTGGGAATATATGATGAAATTTTATTGGCCCATATTCAGGTGATTTTTTTTTCAGTGCTTTTAGCTTTGTGGAAAACTGTAGGCATAATTTAGCTATCTCTAGGGACCAAATGTAAAAATGTTTTATGAACATCAGAAAAATCATCCCCCACAAAATTTCTCTTTGGATTTCACAGTTCACGTAAAGATTTTACACCCCTTCCTTCCTCACTGCACCTCCGGCCCCATCTTGGCGAAGGAAGTAATCCATTGTCCTCCATCCAAAAAGATAAATCAGATGGAGGCATCGCCTGGTGCTCTGTAAGGCTTGTGAGGAGTGCTTCTAATTATTCATGTGGGAGGGTCGCTAGTGTGGGCATTGGGATGAGAAGGAGGCAGCAACAACTAGGACATTCTCAAGCTCCTGGGGCTGTGCAGATAAATGGATGGTAAGCTCACAGTTTTGTGAGCCAAGAATGAGGATCTGAAGTCATCCCTAGGCATCTCTTTGAGGATCTCTACAGGCCTGGAGCAGTCTGTCTGTCATGATTCATAATCTGTTTCTATATTAAACTGTGGCCACGTGGTTCTGGCAACACCCTGAGGTACACAGACAGCAACCTCAGATGGGAATCCAAAAACCTGTGCTTGGGGATTTTCTCTACTTACTAGCTGTGTGACCTTGTGCAAGTCACTTAATGGTGCCTGGCGCACAGGCGTTTAATGAGTGTGGATCAAGTGAATAAATAGGTAAGCCACCTCGCTGAGCCTCATTTTCCTCATCTGGGAAATGGAAAAACGATGCTTCTCCAACAGGCTGCGATCATGTAGGTAGAATTGCTTTCTAAATGGTGCACCTCAAACTTTCATGCACTTCACAGGAATCACCTGGGGAGCTGCCCAAATACAGATTCTGACTCAGCAGGTCTGGGGCCTGAGTGCCGCATTTCCAACTAACCCCAGGGAATGTTAATGCTGCCTGACTGGACCACACTTTATTATTTTATTTATTTATTTATTTTATTTATTTTTTTTTTTTGTAGAGATAAGGTCTCGCTACGTTGCTCATGCTGGTTTCGAACTCCTGGCCTCAAGCCATCCTCCCGTCTTGGCCTCCCAGAGAGCAGGATTACAGGTATGAGCCACTGTACCTGGCTTGGACCACACTTCATTGTATAGATTTACATTTTTTTTAGAGCAGGGTCTTGCTCTGTCCCCCAGGCTAGAGGGCAGTAGTGTGATCATGGCTCACTGAAGCTTCGAACTCCTGGTCCCAAGCCTCCTGAGTAGTTCGGACCACAGGGCATGTACCACTGTGCCTGGCCCTGGACCAAACTTTAACTAGCAAGGTTCTAGAGTCTAAAGTGCTTTCCAGGTGCTTGAAATCATTATTTCTTCAGCCAGTGGGGTGGGAGGGCTGTACCAAGGGCAGAGTGATCAAACATGGAGAGGGAGCTGTGGACACCCACACATGGGAATAAAGGAAAATCTTGAGTTCCATCAGGGAAATCCTAGCTAGCCCTGAGAAGTAAATAAACAGCTTGATAAACAGGAAGGTAATAGTAGTCTAAAACAATAGCTAAGGAAGTTAGAGTCAGGAGATGTTTGGTTCCCCTCTAGAAACTAAAGATAACATCTTAACTTACTAGCTGTGTGACCGTGTGCAAGTCACTTAATGGTGCCTGGCACACAGGCGTTTAATGTCCCTGAGCTGTTTTTCAGAAGCCCAGACCTCTCCAAAGGGATCCGCTGGCTTGTAGACCTCAGGTAAGCAGGTGCTGAGGACTGACTGACTATAGTTCGTTCTAAATGTCTTCCTGAGGGACCTGGAGGAGGCCATGCCCATGAGCCAGAGCTAACATTCTTTTCTGCTGATCCCAAATGTCTAGACAAAGCTTTGCCTCCTGAACCAATTGCAAATCAGAAAATCTTTGAACCCACCTTATGACTTGTGGGTCCTGCTTTGAGAGGACCTTTTTAGGTCAAACCAACATATAGCTTCCATGTATTGATTTATGATTTTGCCTGTAATGTCTGCTTTCCTGAAATTTACCCCTGCCTTTTAAAATCTTTACCTGCTGCTGGGCACAGCGGCTCATGCCTATACTCCTAGCACTTCGGGAGGCCAAGGTGGGCAGATCACTTGAGGCCAGGAGTTTGAGACCAGCCTGGTCAACATAGTGATACCTGTCTCTACTAAAAATACAAAAATTAGCTGGACGTGGTGGTACATGCCTGTAGTCCCAGCTACTCAGGAAGTTGAGGCTGGAGAATTGCTTGAACCCAGGAGGCAGAAGTTGCAGTGAGCTGAGATCGTACCACTGCACTCCAGCCTGGGCAACAGAGTAAGTGAGACTCTCTTAAAAAAAAAAAAAAAAAGAAAAGAAAAATTCCTTACAAGCCATCAAGAGTTCATATCTTAAGCATAAGCCACCCAATTCTCCTTGCTTGGAGTCCTGCAAACAAATGCCTTCCTTTATTGTTGCAAAGTTTCAGTGTGGACATCTGGTGTTATTGCACCAGGTGAGAACACCCGGTTTGGTTCTACAACATTCTAGTGTGCCCAGGATTGAGGAGCTTCCTGGGATGCAGGACTTTGTGTGTTAGAACCAGGGGAGTCCCGGATAGAACAATTTGGTCCCCCTATCAGGATAATGAAAGAGAAAGACATGCTTTGGTCTAAGTTGCTGTGTGACCTGAAAAAGAACCAGGCAGCTGATTGCTTAGGTCCCACCTTAGACCAATTAGTCTAGTACCTCCTATTTCACAGAGGTGGAAGCCATCCCAGAGAAGTCCAGTGACTTGGCCCACATCACCCAGCTACTCAGGGGCAGGGCTGAGGCCAAGCTCCCACCTTCCCACTCCCTGTCCAGCTCAGCACCTTCTCCATCAGTTTACATTGTCTTCTCTTAACACATTCCTCTTGATTTGGCAGACACAGCATGTTTATTTATAAATTGGCTTGTTTGGAGCCTGAAATTTAGCATCATTGATTTTGGCTGTGAGGTGTTCACATTTTTCCTCTCTTTGTTTTGGTTCGCTAAACCATGTTTTGTGAGTAAAACCACAAAGTAATAAAAACACAATGAGGCGGCTAAAGTTGTTCAAATGCAAAGCATCCAGAAATGTGACAGCATAGACTTTCTCAGATTTATTGTGTGTCCTCAGACAGTAGACAAAAATGCACGGGGTTTACTTCCAGGGATTTACGGGCCCAATATAAGTAAACAGCTGGGGTTTCTTTTTAGGCTGTTTCTCTTGGAGGTGGTGCAGGAGGTTAAAGAAAGCACCTCTGATGAGCAGATAGCTGGAGGCTGTTCCCAAGATCATGTCTCAGTGAAGAAGTTGGAGTCCAGCAGCCATCAGAACCAAGGTATGTGTGGTGGTCTTCAGAATGCCACCCCAAATCCTTTGCACTTTATTTTGCACACAGCAGGAGTTGTAAAAGAGTGCTTCCTTTTATTATTAACACCGAGAATCCATGCAGACAGTTTACACTAAACACGTGAATACATTGTGTTTTAAAAGGCTGGGTGCCCTCAGTTTCCAGATCTTTCTAATTGTATCACTAAATTCAGGTAGGTTTTTGGAGACAGAGATTGGCCGCATCGTATCTGTGACACTGACTCTTCTGGTGTAGGTTCGCATGGCCAGGGAGTCTGAGTGCAGCCCCTGATCAGTGCTTCATGCCAACCTGTGAGTCTATTCCAGGAACTAGAGGAGAGAGAGCCTTAGCCTTGCCTGCAACCAGATGAATGGTCAGCTTTAGTGGTGGACACTTTGCTTTTTGAATAGTGTGGTTGGCCAGCAGCTCTTGTCATTGTTTCTCTCTCTCTTAATTTAACAAACCAAGCTGAAGCCTGAGCACAGCTACAACCTTGTCCAATCTCTTTAGCAACAAAATACCTGTGTGTGCATATATTATTGCTAAAAACATTGGACAAGGCTGTATACAAACACACACACACAAACATACACAGATACGCTATACAGGAGACTCCTGATGAAACACACAAATTTTAAAAATTTATTTTTAAACAAATGCAGTGGGATGATTGTGGCTCTGTGCAGCCTTGAACTCCTGAGCTCAAGCGATCCTCCTGCCTCAGGCTCCCAAGTACCTGGGACTACAGGCGTGAGCCACTGCACCTGGTCATGCAGTGAAGGACTTTCTAAGCAAGACCTTGACTTGGAAAGTTGCCACCAACTCCCCAGCTCTGTGAGAAGTTTTGGGGGCAGGGAATTTAAACTCTCAAATTTAGCTGGTTTGCAGGGGCAGTTCTTTCCCAGTGATGAGCTGGGGCTGCTTCTGAAGAACATTTGGAATTAAAATCTAGAGCTCACCCCAGTCAGAGTAAAAAATAGCAGCAAATAAATGTTAGATCACAGCCTCTTCTTAGTCATACCCTTTTATACATGTCATGAGGGTCATTGCCAAAGAAAGAAGTGAGTTAAGTGTAAGGGAATCTGGTCGGAGGTGGACCAATAACCAGACTCATCCGAATGCTTGGCTGATGGTTTTCCAGTTGCTCCGTGGTTTATCCTTTGTGAGGATGCGAGTGACAATCAAGAGTTGGAAACGTGGGGCCTCAGCCCTGCTTCATAAACCAGGCAAGGAAGAGCTGAGGGTGGAGGTAGAGGGGTGCTGGTGGAAGGAGGGTCTGAATTAGAGGAAGAAAAAGGACAGCGCAGCAAAGATTTGGGTTCCTTTCAAGCTTCTGAAGGACACAGTGGGCTGTAACAGAGCTCTCTGGATGAGGGAAGCACAGCCCACCAGCAAAGCATCTACCACCTGTGTGTGTCTCAAATGGCCAGTTCCTGTTGTGGCCTGATTCCATGGACAGCACCACTTGTCCCACTCCCTAACTCTAGCACATGTTTCCCCACTGGGAGCTCGGCCAACCATGTTAGATCCCTGAAGGGAAAGAATGTCAGGAGTGGAGGAAGGGGTGGTGATGCAGAGAGGCTTCTGCTGCTAGCCCCTGCAGGTAGAGAAAGTGCCAGATGCCTCGCCCTCAGTCAAAGCAAGCCTGGCTGACCCATGGGATGTCAGTGGCATGGGGAGTGGAGGTATTTGGCGGCAGACGGCCTGTTTGTTTATGACAAAAAGTACCAAGAGAAGCCTACAGATTTCTCAAGCCAAAACACTTAGACCAAGTCTCCCAAAAAATAGAACCAAGCATCTCATAGAGTTAATGATGATTGTCTATAGGATCCCTGACAATGTAAGCATTATCTTTTTCTGTTCTTTTTTTTTTTTTTTTTTTTTTTTTTGGAGACAGGGTCTCACTCTGTCGCCCAGGCTGGAGTACAGTGGCATGATTATGATGATTATGACCCACTGCAGCCCAACCTCCCAGGCTCAAGTGATCCTCCTGCCTCAGCCTCCCTAGTAGCTGGGACTACAGGTGCGCCCCACTACACCTGGCATTTTTGTTGTTATTGTTGCCCAAGCTGGTCTCAAACCCCTGGGCTCAAGCAACCCTCCCACCTTGGCCTCCCAAAGTGCTGGGAGTACAGGCACGAGCCATCATGCTTGGCCAGATAAGCGTTTCTTGGACAGATCCTGGAGTTCTCCAAAGTTTAGAGCAGGTTAACTGGGTAGCTATGGAGTGTGACCAGATGGAGACATGGGTCTTGTGGCCAGCCCTGCGACCAACTGACAGTCTAGCAAGGCAAGGTGGTAGGTACTTCACACACTATGCACACCCATCCCAGGCAGCCGTAGAACCCTAGGCCTCCCCACCCCACAGACACATGCGGGCTCCAGGGAAAGCAAGTGGTTGGTAGGTGCCTCCCCAACCTGGTGTATTTGGGCATCCTTGCCCTGGGCGACACAGTGAGTCCCTTTCTCAAAAAAACATCCCTTCCATGCCAGCTGCCTGTGTCCCAACCACTCAGGCGCTTTGCCGCTCAACAGAATCCACCTGCAGTTCCCTGCTAGGTATGTCTCAAGGAGCCCTTGAGCCACCCGACTTGTCTTTAATGCCTATAAAATCCAGTTCAGAGGAGGAAAAATATTTATCAGGCAAGTCCTGCCTTTGGAGGTATGTATAGGCACTGACACCAGAACAGGCCAGTGAATAAACTCGGCACCAAACAGGCCATCAGAATAGGGAGCCCCTCATGGTAAATGTGGCTGCGCATAGCAAGCTCGCTCAGGGAAAGCTGGGCCGCAGGTTGGGGTAAAGCACTTGATGCAGGCTGTAACATGTTTTGATGCAGAAGTTACTGGTTCTGAGCAGAAAGGGCAAGGTAAGAGAGCAAAGCCTAAAATGCAGTTCCCCCTTGAGTTCTTTTCTCTCCTCTTATTTTACTTCCTTCCCATGATAACATGCCCCAAGGGCTGAGAGCCGCTGTACTGTGTTTAACAGATGGAGAGAACACCTTCTTTAGGCTTTCAGAGCTACAGAAGCCAGGGCTAAAACGCCAACTCTATAGCCATGAGGATCAGCCTTTTTTTTTTTTTTTTTTTTTTTTGAGACGGAGTCTCGCTCTGCTGTCACCCAGGCTGGAGAGCGGTGGCGCTATCTGAGCTTACTGCAACCTCTGCCTCCCAGGTTCAAGTGATTCTTGTGTCTCAGCTTCCTGAGTAGCTGGGATACAGGCAAGTGCCACCACACCCAGCTAATTTTTTGTATTTTTAGTAGAGACAGTTTCATTATGTTGGCCAGGCTGATCTCAAACTCCTAACTCAGGTGATCCGCCTGCCTCAGCCTCACAAAGTGCTGGGATTACAGGTGTGAGCCACCACACCCGGCTGAGGACCAGCTTGAGTCTAGGGACCCTGGAATGCAACAGCCCCAGTCTTGACTTTAGTTAACCTGTGTCATATGCAGGGGCTTTAGGTGGCCAGGAGCAGGGGATCTGGCTGGCTGGCCATCTCCAGGTCAGGAGGCTCTGAGACTGCTACAGAGCAGACCATTGACAGCCTGTAACTGAGTCCAAATTCATTCTGCTTGCTGCGTGACAGCCAATACGTTGAGAGACAAGGAGTTGGAGCAAGGAAAGGTATTTTATTTCGGAGAGCCAGCAAACCAAGAAGATGGTGGACTAATGTCCTAAAGAACTGTCTTAAAATTATGTGGGTTTTGCCTTGTCTTTTCTGTTTAGGTCAGGGGGAAAGGAAGGGGCTGACAACCGCAGACATCTGGACACCAGCAAGGGTCCAGGGGAGGTTTGCGGAACTTCCTTGTCGTTGGCTAACAGTCTCTCATGTGACAACAGCCAAACCTCCTCCTCGTTCCTATAAATCTTTAACAAAAATAGTTAGCTGTTTACATGCTTCCCCTTTAATCCCAGAGTTAGTTTTGCAAATGGCATGGTTGCTGTTTTTGCGTTTTATCTCAGTGCTCTAAAGTTATCCTAGCCTAGGTGCAGGAATAGGTAAAGGCCCCTTAAACAAAAATGGAGTTAGTTATGTTAGTTCTTCTGCTGTTTCATGGTTACAATACCCAGAAGAGAACCCTTGCATCAAAACAGGATGAGATTAGATTATTGTTCCTATAAAAAATCCATGTGGTTGTTTTTTGGCCCCCTCTTCAACATCCGGGGCGTGCTGACGAAGCGAGCAGCAGCTCTGGAGCCATAAACCACCATCTCATCTCAGCCCAGGGCATGCTGGGAAAGGCCAGGAAAAGTCACTTCTCTTCTTTGCTTTAACTGTCTTTTCTGTGGTCTCAAAGTCTTCACAAGGGAGACCTGGTGTTCTCAGCACTGCTCAGCCTCCATGAAGCCCTCCTTCTCATGGCCCGAGGGCTCCACCTCTGCATAGGTGGAATGGTCGGGGTGGCTGCGAAACTTCATGGCTGGCCAGTGGTGAGGTCTACGCTGCAGAAGGCACAGAGGCAAAGTCAGCGGGCATGCCCCCACCATGGGGACCCCACACTCCTGAGCGACAGAGCCAACCAAGGCTCTCTCTTACAAGGGCCCTGGGGCAATTGGGGCCTACCAGGAGCCACACAACTGACCTTCAGGGACCCTCTCCCTAAAATGTTCCCTGCTGTGATCCCCCAACCACTGGGAAACCTGCCGGAAGCTAGAGTGTGGAAGGAGGATACTTTATCTTTCACTGCGTGGTCTGTAGAACTCATAGCTAAAAGATTCAGCAATACACCAAGTGGAGACCTGGGACTGCAATGTGAGGAAATGGCTCAGAGATGGCTGGAATGGTGCCTGAGGATCTGGAAATGCCAAGATAACCCTCCAAGGTAGCACAGGGTCCACATCAGAGTCAATAGGGGGCTTATTAAAATACAGATTCTGGCCTGTGCGGAGGCTCATGCCTGTGATCCCAGCACTTTGGGAGGCCAGGGTGGGCAGATCACGTGAGGCCAGGAGCTCAAGACCAGCCTGGCCAACATGGTGAAACGCCATCTCTACTAAAAATACAAAAACTAGCTGGGTGTAGTGGCACGAGCCTGTAGTCCCAACTACTCAGAAGGTTGAGGCACCAGAATTGCTTGAACCCCGGAGGCAGAGGCTGCAGTAAGCTAAGATTGTGCCACTGCACTCCAGCCTTGGTGACAGAGACTCTCAAATATAAATAAATAAAATGCAGATTCCTGGGCCTGCCTTAGACCTGCCCTATCAGAATCCCTGTGGCCTGGGGATCTGCAATTCCCAGGTGTTACCCAGGTAGGCTAAGACTTCAGAATGGCTAAGCTTCCTAAGAAACTGGGGAATTAGGGCCGGGCACGGTGGCTCACACCTGGAATCCCAGCACTTTGGGAGGCCGAGACAGGTGGATCAGGAGGTCAGGAGTTCAAGACCAGCCTGGCCAAGATGCTGAAACCCCGTCTCTACTAAAAATACAAAAATTAACCGGGTGTGGTGGCACATGCCTGTAATCCCAGCTACTCAGGAGGCTGAGGCAGGAGAATCGCTTGAACCCGGTCGGCAGAGGTTGCAGTGAGCCGAGATTACGCCACTGCACTCTAGCCTGGGTGGCAGAGCAAGACTCCATCTCAAAAAAAAGAAAAAGAAAAAGAAATTGGGAGAACGACCTAGGCCTGTGGGTAATGAGGCTGGTGGGCTCGTGACCCACGTGGAGGAGACTAGAGTCACAGAGGCACCACTGCTACACCCTGTGGGGAACTTTAGAAGCCAGAAGTGGAGGATTGGGGGCAGGAGCTGCTGAGCTCTGCGGCCCCAAGTGAAGGAGGCTGAGCCTTACATCCCATGCTGCCCCTCAGGCTGGCTCTTCAGAATTGAGACGTTCAAAACTTAGCATCCTCAACTAAAGCTCCCAGAGGGCAGCTCTTATCATTATTTCACTTGTCTATTTCATTTTTATTTTAGAGATGGGGTCTCCTCTATCGCCCAGGTTGGAGTGCAGTGGTATGATCAGGGCTCACTGCAGCCTCAAACCACTGGGCTCAAGGGATCCTCCCACCTCAGCTTCCCAAGTGGCTGGGACCACAGGTGCGTGCCACCATGCTGGGATAATTTTTAAAATTTTTGTAGAGACGGAGTCTTGCTCTGTTGCTCAGGTTAGTCTCTAAACTCCTGTGCTCAAGTAATCCTGCCTCAGTTTCTCAAAGTGCTAGGATCTTAGGAAGGAGCCACTGCACGTGCCCCTCAATTTTAACCTTAAAGGCAGGTATCAGTAGGCAAAAGAGGCAGAGACCCTGGTTCCATCATGGCTCTGAGTAAGAACTGAGCCTGGCATTTGGGCATGAGACCATAAATCACTAGAGATAGGCTGCACAGCCACTAGATGGGCACTGTGTGGCACTGTGGCCTTCTTTCTTTCCTCCGGGGATTCTTTTCTGATTTCACGAATGGGGGAACAAAAGCAGAGGGGTTGTTCCACAGGACAGGAGGGCCGAGGGAGTTCTGAGGTGCTGATTTCTCAGGGTGTAGGACTTAGTGGGCGCCAGCTATCTCAAAATGTGTCAGGATGGGGTGGATGAGGTCTTCTCAGGTATGTGGCAGGGGAGAGGGAGAAGGGGAGAGGCAGGGAACAAATGGCCCAGGAGACGCTGACGCAGAAGCGGATGGCAGCCAGCCCTGCGGCCACAGATGACACGGACCTCGATGAAGAAGAGCGCAGCGTTGGATGTGGGGTGGCCATTGATGTAAATTCCAGCCAGGATGATGGCCGCCACAAGGAGGACTGCCAGCACAATGCCCACGATGGTGCCCAGGTGCACAGGGGTGCCCTTTGTCTTGGGGGACAGGTTGTTCTGAAGGCCTGTGGAGAGATCATTAGGGCAGGCAGGGGCTGCAGGGGAGCAGGGAAGGTGGAACCATGGGGTCTTGGGTTCTAACAAAGTCTCAGAGATGAAAGCCGACAGAGCCTTTGGGTCCACGTATCAAATACGGGAAGAGGTTGGGTGGGAGTTGGAATCATTATGAGTAAGGCATTCATGTTGTGCTTGACACCATCTGGGTAGTTTTCCAAAATCACCTAAAAGTTGCCCCAAATGTCTAATAAGGATCATAAGAGAAGTTCTCTCTGATATCTGTGCCACTACATAAGTGCTATTAAGGAATTCACAAAGGGCATCTGAGGGTTAAGAGTTTGGGATCTGAAATCTGGCTGCCTGGATTGAAATCTATGCTCTGCCACTTACTAGCTGTGTGACCTTGTGCAAATTATCTAACCTTTCTCTGTCTTCATTATCACCTCTGTTGAACAAGGATAATAATACCCACCTAATGGGGTTATTGTGAAGGTTAAAATGACATGATTCATGTCAAGCACTGAGGACCATGTCTCCCATTTTGGATGACTTCAATAAGTATTAGCTATTATGATGGCAAATGACCATAGTTTTTCCTATCACTGTCCACTCCCAGATTGTGACCTCTTGGAGGGCAAGGATGATGTCTTATTCAACTGTGTGTCCTCAGCTTTTAGAAAAACTGGCAGGGGCTGGCCGTGATGGCTCACTCCTCTAATTCCAGCACTTTGGGAGGCCAAGGCAGGCGGATCACCTGAAGTCAGGATTTCAAGACCAGCCTGGCCAACATGGTGAAACCCCATCTCTCCTAAAAATACAAAAATTAGCCAGGTGTGGTGGCACACTCCTGTAGTCACAGCTACTCAGGAGGCTGAGGCAGGAGAATAGCTTGAACCTAGGAGGCGGAGGTTGCAGTGAGCCGAGATCGTGACACTGCACTCAAGCATGGGTGACAGAGTGAGACTCCATCTCGAACAAAACAAAAAAACTGGCAGGCCCGTCAGAGAAGCTCCAAGAAAGTATATGGAATGATGTAGGTCCTCTGGAAGCCAATAAGCCAACAGGCACTCTCTGAGAACATCCTAGGCATTTGAAATACATCCCGGGGGAGAGAGTATTTTCCACAGAGCTGGAAGCTCAACCCCTTTCGTGCATGACTGAGGTAATGGAAATAACAGAGAGGTTAAGTGATTTCCCCACAGACACACAAATTCAGTGCCCACCCCTAAAAAACCTAGTTGCCTGACACTACCTGGGGTGGCTATTTGCCTCTTTACCCTATCCTAAAGGAATGTGGAGATAATGAGGTAGAGAAGACAGATGAGCAGGCTGGCAACAAAAATGTTGCATTCTTCCTACACAGCTAGTGGGTGGGTTGGAAGGCAGCTAGGGGTGGCGAGTTTTAATGGGATGTTGCATGCACTCAAAATCATTGTCCTCCCCATCCCCTTTGCTCTACTCTGCACTCTGTAAGCAGAGGACACCCAGGAGAGAAACTATCCTGGGGCACTCCAGGGCATGGCTAGGGCCTCTGTCTGCCAACAGGTGGGAGGACTGAGGTGAAATGCCCCAAGTGAACCTCCCCTGACCTGGATGGCAATCAGCCCGCAGCCTGCAGTGGCTCTGATGATTTGATGATGAGGGCTTCTGCTGATGAGCACATGGTGCAGAGTGAGGGGATTATGGTCCAGCCACCCCCACAACACACACACACACACTCACACCCACTGCCTATGGAGGAGCAATGGCTCCATCTCTGCTGGGGGACACCATCACACTGTGCTGCATTAATAATCTTTCCTCTCCTGCTGGAAGCCCAGATGACAATCTCCAGCCCTGGGGTTGGAAGGCACTTTCATTTCTACTCTTGCACAGGTTGCAACAAAGGCCTGAGCTGGCTCTGGGCAAAGGGCAGGGGAGGTGGGGGCAGCTCCCACCCTCAGAAAGGAGATTATCCTTCTAGGTAATCCTAGGAGGCTGCAGTGAGTCCCACCTTCTGGTACCCTGCAAAAATTGTAGTGGACCATTTTATGTCCTCTGCCAGCCTGAGTGAGGAAAGAAGCTGCTCTCCACCCCTTGCTGACTATGAGCCCGTGGGGATCGGAGGGGATGGCCACAGGCCCCACCCATGCCTGCCCTGGCTCAGTCCTTCCCCTCCTCCCACTCCTTTCTGGGCAGTGAATATTCAAGGGCAGAGAGCCAGGAGAAGAACCACAGGAGGTTCATGGCTGAGGTGAGAAATGTCGGGTAGACATGTTCCTTCAATCTAGGGCACCTGTACCCAGAAGCACCCCTGCCTCCCCACCCAGCAGAAGGTCTGGGATGCTCAGGCTGCAGTTGCTCCCTCTCCGCACTCATAAAAATAGTGCAGGCAGCTGCTGCACCCTCTTCTGGGGTGGGTCCAAGAGGCGCTGGGTCTGACGCTGAGGGCAGGTGGTTCTGTACTCACCATCTCCTCCTGCATAGGGATTCGACTTGGTGTCATCTTCAAAGAGAGAGGACAGAAGGAGCAAGATTAGTGGACTCATTACGGCCTTTGTCACTCTGAGTCCAGATGGGACTTTAGGGAGGTTCAGCCCAAACTTTCATTTTAGAGGTAAGGAAACTGAGGCTCAGAGAGGGGAGGAGACTTGCTCAACATCACACAGCAGTTGAGTGTAGCTGGAGGGTGGGGAGTATATGAGCGGCGGCTGGTGAGAGATGAGGCTGGGAGTGGAGGGCCGGCTGCCAGGAGAGCAATAGGAGGCTGTGCACGTTCTTCTGCAGGGCAATAGAGAGCTGAGTATGGGTCTGAAGAGGGACTGTATGTGTCACAAGGTGAGATCAGCTTGGAGACTCCCTGGGGCTGCAGTGTGCAGGAGACAGTCCCAACCCACTTTTTGTCTATACTTCGAGACCTGTCGCCTGTGGCTTTCTAAGTAAGTTTCAAGGGTCCACCCTTCCTATGATTCCTTCCCAAGCAGATTTTTATGGGGAAAGACAAGCAAAAGTTTCATGTCAGGAGAATGCTGTAAATGACTGAAGATTCTTGCCCTAAGCACCTGAACTTTATTTATTTATTTATTTATTTATTTATTTATTTATTTATTTATTTATGGAGAGAGGTCTTGCTCCATCACACGGTCTGGAGTGCAGTGGTACAATCACAGCTCACTGCAGCCCTGACCTCCTGAACTCAAGTGACCATCCCACCTCAGCCTCCCGAGTAGCTGCACCTGGCTAATAAAAAAATATTTTTTTGAGATGAGGTCTCACTGTGTTGCCCAGGCTGGTCTCCAACTCCTAGGCTCAAGCAATCCTCTTACCTCAGCCTCTCAAAGCACTGGGGTTATAGGCGAGAGCCACCTCACCTGGCCTAACAAGGTATTTAAACTCACGCAGGAAGAAATGCATGCAATGTTGATCAAATGAGTGGTCATTTTCTGTTGTTAGTTGTCACTTCTTGTGGCTATCAAGGTGTTCTGTTCTGTTGCTTATAAGATAAGCCCTTCTGCACACAGTTGTTCTGGGTGAGTGCCTGTCTCTCTTTGGAATAAAATGCATGGGCTTTGTGACAGCTACTTGCCACTCAGAGGTCTTCTGGTTCATTTAAGTGAGTAGCGTTTGATTGCGAGTGAACAGCTCTTAAATCCAGCCCCCATGTCTCCCGCTCCTCCTGCCCTGCTGCTTTCTACCTCTGTCCTGCCCAGGCAGGCCCCTGCTGGGTCCCTTCGTTCACATCTCCCTGTTGGAGCCTGTACCCTCATAGAATGGACGGGAAAGACTATCCCACGCCTGCCTCTGCAAGTCTCCCTGTGTGGGCTGTAACCACACAGGCAGGAGAGTGACTCAAGCTGTCCTGCCAAGATGCCTTGCAACTTGGGCATGTCGGGGGAAGTCATGATTAAAAATGTTTTTTCTTATAAACCAGGCACAATGGCACGTACCTGCAGCTACTCAGTAGGTTGAGGTGGGAGGATCCTTGAGCCCAGGAGTTCAAGTCCAGCCTGGGTAACATAGCAAGATCCCGTACCACACTCCAAAAAGTTTTTTCTCTTACAGATGTAACTTCAGAATCTTTGCCACCTCTTCCAGGACTGGAAGGACATAGAGCCCTAACTGTCTTCACTTTTTACTCTAATGAATGTTTTCTGTTGGGAACCATTACACAAAACGTAGAAGTGAGACCCATTTCTGAGCTGGCAGGGGATGCACACAGATAATAAAACTGGCAGACAGAACTCACTGCCTCTGTAGGACAGAGGACCTACGTGGTGGGCTGTAGGACAGCCCGGGGGCTCAGTAATAACAAGTCAGGATTTAGGCTTGGCCCCCAAGCGGCGTGCCCTGGGCTCCCCATGCCACCACAGCCCCCCTTCTAGCCTCTGACACTGTGGCTCCACCAGACACTGTCTGGCTAAACCCTCTGGATGCGGCAGGGTGTGTCTGCAGCCCTCCTGGCCCAGTGCTGGGCTCAGAACATGCCCTCAGTAAGCCTAGGGGGCTAACTGGTGGTAACTAAGCAGGGACTACCTCCTTGTAAGAGGAGCTTTCTTTGACTGGAAGGTTACCCCTGGACTCAATCACCAACTCCCCAAAGGGCAAAGTTTCTTTCTGCTTCTTTTTCTTTTCTTTTCTTTTTACTTTCTTTCTTTTTCTTTTTTTGAGACAGTGTTTCACTGTCACCCAGGCTAGAGTGCAGTGGCACAATCATAGCTCACTGCGGCCTCAACCTCCCAGGCTCAGGCGATCCTCCCACCTCAGCTTCCTGAGTAGCTGGGATTACACATAAGGGCCACCACGCCCAGCTAATTTTTGATTTTTGGTAGAGACATAGTTTTGCCACGTTGCCCAGGCTGGTCTTGAACTCCTGAGCTCAAGTGATCCGCCTGCCTGAGCATCCTAAAGTATTGGAATAACAGGCGTGAGCCTCCTCTCCCAGCCTCTACTTCTTTTTCACTGAATCCCCTGCAGCAGCACCACGTGCTCTGCTCTCAGTGCCAGCTCCTTGTTATTCCGGAGCAACTTCAGAGTAATGGGAGCTGTCGCAATCTGCCTCACTTTCCCACATTTTGCTACTCTACCCTGACCCTGAATTCACATAGAGCCTTTTCCATTTCTTTCAGCACCAAGAGAGGCAATGGGGTTGAGGGGAAAGACCTCTGCTTTTGGAGCTAGATGAAACCTGACTCTATCCCTTCTTGGCTGTGTGACCTTGGGAAGTCATCTGCCTCTCTGAGCCTTAGTGTCTCCTTTATGAACCAGGGATATAACAGTGTCAAGATCCAGGATTGTTGGGAGGACTGAATATTAATTTACATGCCACTTTAGCACCCTACTGGGCATAGAGTTGGTCCCCAAAAATGCTGGTGCTTTCTATCATTCATTCATTCTCCTCCACAACTTCCCCCCAGCCAGGTCCATGGGTCCCTGCCCTTGTTCTCTAGTTTTCTAGGAAAGGCAGGGGACACACCAGGCTCGGTGGCTCACGCCTGTAATCTCAGCACTTTGGGAGGCTGAGGTGGGTGGATCACGAGGTCAGGAGTTTGAGACCAGCCTGGCCAACATGGCGAAACCCCATCTCTACTAAAAATACAAAAATTAGCCGGGTGTGGTGGTGTGCGCCTGTAGTCCCAGCTACTTGGGAGGCTGAGGTGGGAGAATTGCTTGAACCTGGGAGGCAGAGGTTGCAGTGAGCTGAGATTGTACCACTGCACTCCAGCCTGGGTGACAGAGCGAGACTAGGTCTAAAGAAAAAAGAAGGCCGGGCGCGGTGGCTCAAGCCTGTAATCCCAGCACTTTGGGAGGCCGAGACGGGCGGATCACGAGGTCAGGAGATCGAGACCATCCTGGCTAACACCGTGAAACCCCGTCTCTACTAAAAAATACAAAAACTAGCCGGGCGAGGTGGCGGGCGCCTGTTGTCCCAGCTACTCGGGAGGCTGAGGCAGGAGAATGGCGTAAACCTGGGAGGCGGAGCTTGCAGTGAGCGGAGATCCGGCCACTGCACTCCAGCCCGGGCGACAGAGCGAGACTCCGTCTCAAAAAAAAAAAAAAAAGAAAAAAGAAAGGGGACACTGTGGAAAGAACATCTCACCACTTACCCCTCACATAACTTTCAATAACCTACTTTGCCCCTTTACGAGCCTCTTTCTTTATCTATAAGAAAGGACTGTGGGCCAGACATGGGGGCTTAGGCCTATAATCCCGGCACTTTTAGAGGTTGAGGCAGGAGGATCACCTGAGCCCAGGAGTTTGAGATCAGCCTGGGCAACATAGTGAGACCTCATCTCTACAAAAAATTTTTTAAAAATTAGCCAGGTATGGTGGTACATGCCTGTAGTCCCAGCTGCTTGGGAGGCTGAGGTGGGAGGATTGCTTGAGCCCAGGAGTTGGGGGCTGCAGTGAGCCATGATCATACCACTGTACTCCAGCCTGGGCAACAGTGAGACCCCGTCTAAAAAAAAAAAAAAAAAAAAAAAAAAAAATCCTAACATAGGATTAGAGGGGGAAGAAAATAGTGGCTGAATAATGTTTTAAAATATTAGCTTTTTTCTTCTTTCCTTTCCTTCTTATCATTATTCCTTTCAAGCAGATATTTGGTTCAGGGGAGGCTATAAAGAACCCACAAGTCTTTCAGTCTTAGCCTAAAGGGACGGGGCTTTCAAAGCTGGATGTGGGGTTTTGTTTTGTTTTGAGACAGGGTCTTACCCTGCCACCCAGGCTGGAGTGCAGTGGCATGATCTTGGCTCACTGCAACCTCTACCTCCCAGGTTCAAGCAATTCTCCTGTCTCACCCTCCCGAGTAGCTGGGACTACAGGCGCCCACCACCACGCTCAGTTAATTTTTGTATTTTTAGTAGAGATGGGGTTTCACTGTGTTGGCCAGTCTGGTCTCAAACTCCTGACCTCATGATCTGCCCACCTCGGCCTCCCAAAGTGCTGGGATTACAAGCGTGAGCCACCGCACCCGGCCAATTTTTATATATTTAGTAGAGACGGGGTTTTACCATGTTGGCCAGGCTGGTCTTGAACCCAGTGATTCGCCCACCTCAGCCTCCCAAAGTGCTGGGATTACAGGTGTGAGCCACTGTGCCTGGCTGCGATGCAGGGTATTGAAAAAGGATAAAAGAGAGGAATGTCTCAGACATAGCTACAGAATCCTGGAGGGGGCATGGGAGAAAGGGAAGAGATTTGAGGCCTGGGACCAGAGGAGCCTGCACAAGGCTTCCTGGGACACTGCCTGGTGCATTCAGGGGGATGGACCTCTGGCAGCTTCAACCAAGACCCCCAGGCCTCCAGGTAGCAGGGAAGCCCCTGGTTCGGCCAGACCTGAATAGTCAGGGTGGATGGACAGCTGAGGTGGAATTCCCCATCCATCACTCCAGGAGCAGGGAAGTCCCTGGACAGTCCCTGAATAGTCAGGGTGGATGGACAGCTGAGGTGGAATTCCCCATCCATCACTCCAGGGCCTGAAAGTGAGAAGCTGGGGGAACCTACAGAAAAACAAGGCAGCCTTTCTCTCACACCTGAGTGTATGGATTGAGTTCATATCTGCTACAGGGATGAGCCTTTTCAGGTTCTGTGAGGACTGCTATTAAGATTAGCAGAGATAAGTTATATAAAATACCTGGCACTGGGCTGGGATATTAATTTTTCCCCTCTTCACAGTGAATTCTGTCTGTAGCCCTGATGTGGGCCAGCACAGTGGTTAGAGCCTAGGAGTAGAGTTCAAGTTCTGAATCTGCCTCTGCTTCTCACCAGCAAGTGACCTAAACTGTCTGAACTTCAGGCCCCCTTAGCTATAAAAGGATGGGGCAGTTCCCATCCCATAAGATCATCGCTGTCAGGGAGAGAGAGGGGGGGCCCCAGAGGGGTAGTTCTCCTTCCTGGCCTCCTCTCTGCTCCCCACCTGGGCTCAGGACTTACCTTCTGTGGTGAGGCTGTCGATGAAGAGGGAGGAGGAGGTAGTGGTGAGGTCTCCATCATAGGGGCTGAAGGAAGTGTCAGGGGAGGCCGAGTTGTGGTACTCATCCTGGAAGTCCTCGCACGTCCTGCCCTCTGCCTGCAGGAGGGAGCCAGTGCTGTGTCCTGAATGCATTTACACCTTTCCCTTCATCCTGAAAGCATCTTATCTTACAGGGCAATTTATCTGTCAGCTGCTTCAAATCCTTCCTCAAGGAAGGAGCTGAGATGCCAATCTCAAATAAATAGAGCAAATCTGAACGGTCACCAACAGCTAACTTCAGAAGTAGGCGGCTGGACAAGATTTTTTTTTAAGCCCAGACTCAGACTAATAAATAGACCGTGGTGAGTGCATGGCCATGGGGTCTGGAGAGTTGATATTTAAATGCTGGGCCCATCACCTTCTAGCTGCAAGATGCAGGCCAATTCATTAAACTTCTCTGAGCCCCCATTTTCCCCTCTGATCAATGGGGGTAATGGCCCCAGCTTCTGGGTCAGCCTAAATAAGAGCGAGGGTAGGGCAGCTCACAGTCACATGCTTGGCACATGCAGCATGCTTGCTTTGCAAGAAGAGATAAAGGGAGGGGGCAAAAAAAAAAAAAAAAAAAAAAGAGGGCACAGATGAATAGACTCATCTGTGTTAGTCTATGGTGTGAGAATAGGATGCTTTCCATCCAGAATCAGTGTTGAGTGTACTGGAAAATTCTTGCAGCGAGAAGGAACCTGGATGGGATTCTAAAAAGGAGATGCCCGGAACCACCCTCCTTACTTCCAGAATGACTGCCTTCCTCAAAAGCCAGAGGACCAGAGGCTCAGCAGGTGCGTCATTAACGTCAGCAGGTGCACAGTCTCCCAGAGGAGCCAGCAGTGGCTGAGGCCATGCCTAACATCCCCTCTGCATGCACCAAAAGAATTCCTTGAGAGCTGCCCACTTAAGGCCAAGGCATCAGAATGCTCGCCTCAAAGACCCACAGAGCCCTCTGAAACCTTCCAAAGTGGGTCTCATTGTCTCAGGGCAGTCTGGAAAAGAAATCTCAGATAGAGGGGAGGATATTGCCAAGAGCTAATGCCACCTTGAGAGGAGTTTGCAGGAGCGGGCTCTACCGGCTTCCCTCCTATTCCCTACCACCTGGCACAGGAATTGCAGCCGATACTTATGCTTCTCACCTCCTGTGCACAGCCATAGTCCGTCCATTCCTGGCGATAGCGGTCAAAGCCACTGGAGCATCTGCAGGAGGACCAAAAGGTCAGAGGTGTGATGGGATCCACAAGGAAGCCCTCCCCTGTCACTGTTCAGTAACAACTCTCTGCTGATAGTGAGAAGAGGAGCTAAGGTCCCCAGGCTGAGGTCGTCAGGCACTCCTGTTCCCTCTACTTCCCTGGAAGATGAAGGTATTTGTGGCATCCCTGCCTTCCTTCTGACCCAGCTCCCCAGGACCAAGGCCTCATCTGCCCATGTGAGTAGGTGTAGGGGCTAGCAGGACTGCATGAGCTCCAGTGATCCTCAAGGTCGTCTTGACTGTGAGCTGCCATGACACTGCTGAGAATCCAGGCAATTCACATACGTGTTTTCATCCTGGTTATTGAGGGGCCTAACCTTGGGAAGGAGAGTGGGGCTAAAGGTAGGCATCAGCAGATTTAGTCAACACCTCCCAGGTGATCATTCAAGGGCAGAAATGATCTTGCCGGAGGCTGGGAGAGATTTACAACTGGCTGACAAGGGTCTCCAGAGAGGGCATTGGGCAGCTCAGCTGGGTGGAAGACACCAAGCACCCCTGTAGGGAAAGGATGGGGGCATGATGATGCACCAGAGAATGCTCTCCATGGATCATTCCCAACTTTTTGTTCTTTACTCTTTGGTGCTAGGGGAACCCTCCAAGCCCTACTGAAGCCCAGGGACATCTGCATAGGAAGAATAACATCATGAACCACCAGTGCCGAGAAGGAACTCTCAGCAGGTTAACTGCACCAGCACCCACTGAAGTTCGGTGAGGCCAAGGGCCAAGGCTTGCCAAGAGCTGTCAGTCTTTCCTTCTACAGATGCCTCTGGGCTCTGAGCTGCTCCTCCTGCAGCAGGGATGGCTGAACTGAGCCAGCCACACTCTCCTTCTGTCAGGCCCTCTATGCCCACTACTTTGGGGGATGGAGGATTAGGAAGGCTATTGGAGGCTGAGAACTAAAGTTTCTTTTAGTGTGGGTGTGGTGGCTCATGCCTGTAATCCCAGCGTTTTGAGAGGCTGAGGCAGGAGGATTGCTGGAGCCCAGGAATTTAAGGCTATAGTGAGCTATGATGGCACCACTGCACTCCAGCCTGGGTGACAGAGCAAGACCCTGTCTCTTAAAAACAAACAAACAAACAAACAAAAAAAAAGAAAGTTCTTTTAGACCATGCTAACTGATTCTTTAAAAGATTGAGCCTTTGGTATGGGTTTATGACCCCCGTTTCTGGAGCTAATCCTGGAATTAACGTTACCCTTAGACTCCAGACTGGGCCATGGCAGGGGGCGGGGGCACCTGCCATGAGAGATGAAATTGTTTAAATCCATTCCAGCCCAAGAGCAAGGAGGAAAGCTCTGGGAGGCTGTGAAAGGCAGACTGGGTGGAGGGAGAGGAGCAGAGAACCATGCGGGGACTGACTGCAGCTGTTGCCAGACAGACCATGTCAGCTGGCCCTGCCCTCCGGGTTTTTGGGGACCTGGGTTCAGCTCTCAGTTGCAGCTGAGGCTTCAGAGAGCTTGTAAGAAAGGACAGTGTGCAGGAGTGAGCCCAGGCCCACGGGGCGCCTGGGGATGGGATGGTTTCCAACTCGCACCAGCCGTGCTCCCCCGGGTGGAGTTTCTCTGTGCTCCTCTCTGCTGACACAACCCCTGCAGATGCACACAATCAGAGGCCTTGCCCTTCCCCCAGCCTGACCAACCTCCTAATGTTGAGGAGGGCCCAACCCTCATTAAACTCATGGTCTCTGAATTTGGGCGTATGCTTTAAATGGGGGTTGCATTGATGGGAGGGTCTGGCTGTCATCTGACCCATTTTGCAGTTCTCATGGCTCAGTGCTTGTGAAAGCTGAGTCATGTGGTGGCAGGCAGCCCCAGGATCCCAGGGCTCATCTGAGGCCATCTCTCCATCGCTGAGACCATGGTTCTCAAATTTGAAAGGTACAAGAGGCACAACTTCAAAAATCAGATTCCTGGGATCCTGGTCCCAGAGGATCATATTCAGTGGGATGGGGCCCAGGAATCTGCATTTTACAAGCCCTCCAGGTATAAGGAGAGCCTCACAGTCTGCAGACTACTCTGCAATGCTCTGCTCCAGGAAGAACCAACCTGGGGTCTATCTTAGGTATTCTTTCTGAGGCTCTGTGAGTATCATGCGAAGGACGCTGAATGCTTTGTAAAAATGCTTCTTGATAGCCTGGGTGCAGTGACTCACACCTGTAATCCCAGCATTTTGGGAGGCCGAGGAGGACAGATCACATGAACCCAGGAGTTCAAGACCAGCTTGGCTAACAAAGTGAGACCCCATCTCTACAAAATATTAGAAAAATGGCCGGATGTGGTGGTGTGCACCTGCGGTTTCAACTACAGGGGAGACTGAGGCAGGAGGATTGCTTGAGTCAGGAGGTTGAGGCCACAGTGAGCTGTGATTGCACCACTGCACCCCAGCCTGGATGACAGAGCAAGACCCTGTTTCAAAACAAAACAAAACAAAACAAAACAAAACAAAAACTGTTCGAGGAGTTTAAATAACAGTGTGTTTGTTCCCACATCTTCCTGAATCACATGACCCCCGCCCATTTTACAGGGTAAACAATCTGAGGCCCCCAAGAGAGTGAATGAAAGCACAGCTGGTGGGAAGAACACCTGGGAGACCTGATGGACACACCCCATCCCCTCAGGGCCCAGAGCCGTGTCCGTGTGCTAGGCAGGCTGCCTATAAAGGTGAGAACTTCTACACTTGCAGCAGGATATTGGAAAGGAGCAAAGGAATCCTGGAATTAATGTTACCCTTAGACTCCAGAGTGGGCCATGGTGTGGAGGCATAGGAAATCATTGGGACCAGGGGCAGCAGTTCACGCCCGTAATCCCAACACTTTGGAAGGCCGAGACAGGTGGATTACCTGAGGTCAGGTGTTTGAGACAAGCCTGGCCAACATGGCGAAACCCTGTCTCTACTAAAAAATACAAAAAATTTAGCTGGGTGTGGCAGTGTGTGCCTGTAATCCCAGCTACTCAGAAGGCTGAGGCAGGAGAATCACTTGAACCCGGGAGGTGAAGGTTGCAGTGAGCCGAGATTGCACCATTGCACTCCAGCCTGGGCAACAAGAGCAAAACTCTGTTTAAAAAAAAAAAAAAAAAAAAAAGCAAGCAAGCAAGCACTGGAAAGGAGCATTGGAAAGGAACAGCACCACAGCTGCACGGGAACTCAGAGACTATAATTTAGCAATTTTCGAGATTGCCTTAAAAGCTCTGGGAGTTCATAGGGCTTCCCACTCTCATGAGAACTCTAGTCCCCAAGGAAATCTTTTTCTTCCCCCTCCTCCTGTCATTTATTTATCTTGGACAGGGAACAGAGCTTGAATTCTGAGTCTAATCTGTGAGGAAATGATTTCAGAACAAGGAGTGGAAGTGGAGATGGATTTAAGAACTTTATCACTGAAACTGAATCTCACCCAGAACTTTCTGAGCTTCTAAAAGCAAGCAAACACAGCTTTTTAGCTCCCCCAACTTTCCATGGATGCCTGTGGTCCACACCCCTGGTCTTCAGAAAAATCCCTTGCAGCCCAAGAAAGATCTTGAGGTGGTGTTTTGGGGTCATGGGTCTTTGGACCAGACTTTATCTGTGAACTGGCAGTTCTGACACTTGCTTACAGATGAGGCATGATGTTAAAATGCAGCTTCCTGGGTTCTCTCCCAGAGATCCTGATACAGAGGGTCTGGGATGGGTCCCAGGAATCTGCATGTTTAACTGGAGCCCAAGGTCTGATGCCCACAGCTGTGGACCACTCTGAGAAGCCCTGTTTCAGGATGAATCCTCCCCTCCTGGGTATGAGGAGGAAGCCCGAGCAGCTGGAATCCCTGAATGGTCTTCCAGAAGCCCCCAGGCCATATTCTTGTCCTAAGAATCAGAGTGGCACTGGCCAGAGATACTCTAATGTTGGCCGACTGTGGGCATTGAGGCCGGGAGCGGGGCCGTGCCACCCTCTTCTTCTCATCCATGTTCGGCCAGTAGGAGTCAGTGGGTAACCCTGGGCACAAACCTCTGGAGGACATGGCACCAGCTGCAGTTGAAGGACAGGTCCGAGGACATGCAGGCGTCACAGCTCCTATGCTGTAGGCAGGCTGCAAGAGAGAAGGCAGTGGCCGCTCAGCACTGAGCCTCTCCATGGGCTCCAAAGGGTGCAACTCTGAATTCCTGGTATTTACAGAACTGTGGGGCCCCTGACTTCAAGGGGACCTTTGAGGTCATTAATGCCACCTCCCTTGGTCCAGACCAGCCCCAATTCCTAACTTCTTTTTTTTTTTCTCTTTTCTTTTTTTTTTTTTTTTTTTTGTTTTAAGGGATGAGGTCTCGCTGTGTTGCCCAGGCTGGCGTGCAATGACCTGATCATGGCTCACTATAGCCTCAAACTCCTGGCTCAAGCAATCCTCCTGCCTCAGCCTCCCCGCCCTCCCTCCCTCCCTCCCTTTTTTCCTTCTTCTGTCCCTCTTTCCCTTGCTCCCTCCCTCCCTCACTTCCTCCCTCCCTAGCTTCCTTCCTTCTCACCAGAAGGTCAGGCCCTAAACTGGGTGCTGGGGATTCAGCAGTGTGACCTAGTCCCTGCCTTCTTAGGGCTTAGACTCATATGGGGAGACAGACGCTAAACAGATAATCAAAAATCACTACAGAATTAGAATTCTCATGAGGTCTATGAAGGCAAATCACAAGGTGCTGTAAGCGATTCTCCTGCCTTGGCCTCCGGAGTAGCTGGGATTACAGGTGCCCGCCACCACACCCGGTTACTTCCAGGTGTGTACCCCACAAAGGGTTGAAAGGGATTTTTTAAAGGTCAGAGGATACAAAGTAGCAGGTATGTAGGATGAACAAGGCTAGAATCTACTGTATAACATGAGGACTGTAGTAATAAAATTGTACTGTATGTGGAGTTCATGCTAAATGAGTAATTTTAGATGCTCTTGCCACAAGAACAAAAAGTCTATGTAACTGTGAGATGATGGATATGCTAATTGCTTCATCATGGTAACCTTCTCACTGTCTATATGCATCCCATAGCATCATGTTGTATACCTGAAATATGTACAATAACAGTTATTGTTTTAAAAGATGCTCTGGTTGCCCCCCAGTGCTTGCTGGGGGCACTCACTGCCCACTCCTGATGTTCGGTCCATGGGGAGAGAACAGCTCTCCTGGGGGAGAAGAAGTCAAGGCAGAAAGGCCCTGTGTGCAGAGCCAGGAGGAGAACGGCCCAGACATGGTCCCAGCAGCGGCCAGAACTGCTACCAGGCTGTGTAGAGCGAGGGGGCTGGAATTAGTAGGAATGAAGAGGGAGCGACATCTGGGGCCCAGCCTGGGCAGGACAGAGCCAGAGAGCAGAGAGATTAGTGGGACCAGGTTGCTGGAGGGTGCGTGAACCCTTCTGGCACAGGTCAGGCAGGGGAGCAGCAGGGCAGGGGGCGCAGTAGGCATGGGGGCTGGATTTAAGAGCTGTTCACTTGCAATCCAGTGCTACTCAGTTTAATGAACCAGATGACCTCTGAGTGGCAAGTAGCTGTCACAAAGACCATATATTTTACTGCAAAGAGAGACAGGCACTCACCTAGAACAACTGTGTGCAGAAGGGCTTATCTTATAAGCAACAGAACAGAACACCTTGATAGCCACAAGAGTGACAACTAGCAACAGAAAACGACCACTCATTTGATCAACATTGCATGCATTTCTTCCTGCGTGAGTTCTCATGCGATCCATTAACTCAGGAGCCAATGTACATGACATGGAGCCCCAGCAAGATGGCAGCTGGGAACCAGCCCTTGGTGAGTGGGAGAGAGGCTGTGTGGGCACAGTATGACCACCTTCAGTCACTCTGGGAGGGACTGGCAATGGGTGGCACTGTGTCCTTTTGTCTGCCATGATGTTGAAGGCCCTGGGAGAGTGGATGGAAAGAGCCACGGGCAGGAAAGAAGCAGGGGCTGCCCTGTGCAGGAGGATGAGCACTCTCTGGCTGTTCTGTTCCCTGTGTATCCAGGGGGTCTGGAACAGTGCCTGGCACATGGTATGTTGAATCAATATATAAGTGCTCTTGTTATCCTCATTTTATGGAGCAGGGAACTGAAGCTTGGAGAGAGTCGTGGAGCTGAGAGTGAGAGGTCTGGGTTTGAACCAAGGTCTGTTTGAGCATAGAGTTCGAGCTCTTAGCCTTGAGGTCTCACTGTGGGTTTCCCCTGCCCCTGCCTCAGTTCTCAGTCCCACCCCAGGCCACTTTTTTATGGGTCTCTCCTAGAAGAGGGACCAGGAGGGACCAGCCACAGAATACGACAGCTTGGAGATAAGCCACTCACCCCTCCGAAGTAATCTGGACAAATCCTTCCCTCACCCAAATGGCAAGGGAGAAGCCAGGGGATGCAGAGAGTTTTCTCTTTATCTGGCCTCCCAGGGACCCAAATCACAGCCTTGATAGCATTACCCCTCCTTCGCCAGCTGCATCCAGTAGGGAACCCTGCCCTTGCCTCTCCCAGTGACTTTGAAGGCTCCTTAAAAGACTCCAGCCGCTGGGCACGGTGGCTCAAGCCTGTAATCCCTGCACGTTGGGAGGCCAAGATGGGCGGATCACGAGATCAGGAGATCGAGACCATCCTGGCTAACACGGTGAAACCCCGTCTCTACTAAAAAATACAAAAAACTAGCCGGGCGAGGTGGCGGGCACCTGTACTCCAGCTACCCGGGAGGCTGAGGCAGGAGAATGGCGTAAACCCAGGAGGCGGAGCTTGCAGTGAGGTGAGATCCGACCACTGCACTCCAGCCTGGGTGACAGAGCGAGACTCCATCTCAAAAAAAAAAAAAAAAAAAAAAAGGACTCCAGCCAAACCGGCCACAGAGAAACTCCTGGGATCCTCCTGGGCTTTCATAACACCTACCAACCTTTATTTCTCATCAGCATTTCAGATGGCCTGAATGCTATTAAATGCTTACAAAATTCACGGGAGGGGTGAGAAGTGCCTTAAATGTACAGTGTCCCAGAAACACATTCCCAGAACATTTCCACTGCTTCCGCCCAGGCAGTCAGTCCTGCCCTTGGATGTCCTTGCTTCTAAATGCAGTTTTATCCACATCATAGAGCCTGAGGTTTGCTCTCACCAGTCCTAGAGGAGCCCTGTTCTCAGGCTCTGGGCCTTCTGCCCTGATGGAGTGATAGGGTTGGGGTATGGCTGTGACCTCTAAAGTGTCCCAGCCTTGTGACCCCCCGGTGTCTGGGTCCTTCCTGTTCTCTAGGGAAAGACACCTGCTGAGCCCTGTCTGAGACGTGGCCTAGCATTCAAGAAGATCCTCTCTCCTTCTCTTCCTCTTGTTTCTCCATCCCCTGCTCTCAGAACCTCCAAGGAAGAGGAAGCAGGAGTAAAGAGAGGCAAGAAATGCCACTGAAGCACAGGCGTGGTTGCTCATGCCTATAATTAATTCCAACACTGGGCACAGTGACTCACGCCTGAAATCCCAAAACTAGGGGTGGTGGCTCACACCTGTAATCCCAGCACTTTGGGAGGCCAAGGCAGGTGGATCAGTTGAGGCCAGGAGTTCAAAATCAGCCTGGCCAACAGAGTGAAACCCCATCTCTATTAAAAATACAAAAATTAGCCCAGCATGGTGGCAGGTGCCTGTAATCCCAGCCACTTGGGAGGCTGAGGCAGGAGAATCACTTGAACTTGGGAGGTAGAGGTTGCAGTGAGCTGAGATCACACCACTGCACTCCAGCCTCGGCAACAGAGTGAGACTCTGTCTCAAAAAAAAAAAAAAAGAAGAAGAAAAAATGCCACTGAGGCAGGGAGAAGGCCATGGCTTCAGCAGGAAGCTGGGGGCGCCACAAGATGGGAGAAGAAATGAAAACCTTCATAAAACAAGAAGGGGCCAGGCACGGTGGCTCACGCCTATAATCCCAGCACTTTGGGAGGCCGAGACGGGTGGATCACGAGGTCAGGAGATTGAGACCATCCTGGCAAACATAGTGAAACCCCGTCTCTACTAAAAAATACAAAAAATTAGCCGGGCGAGGTGGCAGGCGCCTGTAGTCCCAGCTACTTGGGAGGCTGAGGCAGGAGAATGGCATGAACCTGGGAGGCGGAGCTTGCAGTGAGCTGAGATGCGCCACTGCACTCTAGCCTGGGTGACAGAGCGAGACTCTGTCTCAAAAAAAAAAAAAAAAAAAAAACAAGAAGGATGATGCTGTCCTCCTTGTCCCCTTTCCCGCGTTCTCAGCTGTCCCAGCCCCATCCCGAAGAGCATCCACCGTGGATCCTGTGGGCTCCACAACAGCAGGTGGGGCCTCGGCCATGGCTGCCTTCAGCGTGGGTGAGTGGGGTACAGCGGGCCAGGGCCCCATGATTTATGGAGGCCACCTGCTAAATCCCTCCATCACCTCCTGTAAGGATAATACAGTGACAGACTGGGGCCCATCCAGTTCCTGGATCACCTTTTCTGGGGGCTCAGTCTACGTGTTCTCAGAGGTACAGCTTTCCTGGGTTTCAGTTATGTGGGAATAATAATAGCTGTCCTAGATCAAGCCCTCACCCCCACCCCAGGCCTGGAATGGACCCGTCAGTGTCAGAGCTGCAGCCAACGTGCTTAACTCCACCTAGGTGGTTCTCACCCTGACCCTATCTCTGGGAGGGGGGTGGCATCAGGCCCGGGTTACAAAAGAGAGATGGAGGCCCTGAAAAGTGAGATGGCTGCACAAAACAGGAGTCAGCCATGGGCCTGGGACCTGATGCCCGTCTGCTTGACTCCAGAGCTCTTTCCGAGATGGTGGAATGACCCCTACTCACTCGGCAATGGGGTGAACTCCACGGCCGACATGCTGGTGATCTTGCTGGGGTCCAGCTCTATGCGGTGGTATTCAAAGATGCTCCTTCGCCGAGATTCTGAAACAGAGGCAGAGCCTGTTGTCAGGAGCATGTCACAGGCAGAGGGCATCGAGGCCTCTTCCCAGACAGCCTGACAGGTCAGCCTGCTGCCACTGAAGGCAGTAAGTGCACCCAACAGCCTGGGACGATGATGTTGGTGCTGCTGGAGACAGGGACAGGTGCGGACCTGGAGAGGAGAGTATCGTGGTGTGAGGCTAAGTGACAACGCAGAGACCTGGCTGCTCCGGGAGGCAGAACAAAGGAGATCCCGTGCTTGCTTCCCCTTACCTCTGCACCTTCACAACTGCTATTCCCCTGACCCAAGATGTTCTTCCACCTCTTGTCCCTGTCTAGCTCATCCTTGCAGATCCAGCTCCAGGGCCACTTCCCCTGAGCAGCTCTCCTTGGCCAGCTCCCTCCTTTCCTCAACTCAGGCCAGGTGCCCCCTGTCCCACTGCACTCACCACACTGTGTGGACACGAGGGTCTATTTGGAGGCTGGAGATGTGTGAGACCATGATCATCTGGTCCTGAACCTTGCGGAGTGCTCTGTGAATGTCTGCAGATGGACAGGCTGACTTTTGCATGTTGCTGTCCACCATCCACCTCACCCCTGATGGACAAATGCCCCAGCAAGCCTCAGGGCTTGGAGCCAGGCTCAAGTCCTACTTCGGTCCCTGCAGAAACTTCTCACAGGACCTCAGAGTCATGAGACCCAAGTTCATTCTAGTTCTGCTCATGACTTGCTGGATAACCTTAGGCAAGTCATTTGGACCTCAGTTTCTTGTCTGTGGAGTGGAAAGACAGAAACACCTGCCACAACACCCTTGGGAGGAAAAAGCTGGAATTGTAGATGAAAAGGCTTCTTTTAAAATGGCAATCTGAGGTGCTCTGATACTTCTCTCTAGGCCACGATACCCACCCAGGAACCATGACTTGGGGTTGGTTTTCTTCAACTTTGAAAGGCAGGCAGCCCAGCCGGGCGTGGTGGCTCGTGCCTGTAATCCCAGCACTTTGGGAGGCTGAGGCAGGTGGATCACTTGAGGTCAGGAGTTCGAGACCAGCCTGGCCAACGGGGTTTTTAGCAGAAACCCTGTCTCTACTAAAAATACAAAAATTAGCTGGGTGTGGTAGCACATGCCTGTAATCCCAACTACTTGAGAGGCTGAGGCAGGAGAATCGCTTGAACCCGGGAGGCAGAGGTTGCAGTCAGCTGAGGTTGTGCTACTGCACTCCAGCCTGGGTGACAAGAGCGAGACTCTGAAAAAAAAAAAAAAAAAAGAGAGAGAGAGAAAGAAGAAAGAGAAAGAAAGAAGAAGCAAGAAAGAGAAAGAAAGAAGGGAAAGAAAGAGAAAGAGAAAAAGAAAGAAAAGAAAGAAGGAAGGAAGGAAGGGAGGGAGGGAGGAAGGGAGGGAAGGAGGGAGGGAGGGAGGGAGGGAAGGAAAAGAAAAAAGAATAAGAAGCAGACAGCCAGGAGTTCAGCTTTGAGAATGAATTACCCAACAAGAGGAAAGGGCCACTCCGTGTTTGGTCTGCCCAACACCCTTTCGTCTTCTGGAAACAGCAGCATTCCCCTTGGGGTACTGTGCCTGGCCCATTCCTACAGGTGGACTGCGCAGCTGCCATCTTCTTCCATGATCCTGCCTCTCTGGCCAGGCTGTGATTGGTCCAGGGCTGGGTATTTGCTGTGAGCTGGACCAATCAGAGAACTTCCCTGGGACTTTTCAACTGTAACCAAGAGGCCTTTTGCTCTCTGGTAATGAAGCTGGGAAGATGCAAGCTCTGAGCCTGTGAATGGCCACAGTTCTCGGCTCATGGGGAAAGCCAGAGAATGAAGCCACCTCGTGGAGAGAAACAGGAAGTGCTGGTGTGTTCTGGGCCCTGGGGTTCTGGGACCTGCCCCGGTGTTCAGCTCTTCTTTTGGTTCTTTGGGCTACTTCATTATCCTCCGTGCATCCCCTTTTCCGTTTAAGCGAGTTTGAATTAGAGTTTTCGTAACTAGAAGTAGGTGGGGACATATGTTTCTTGCTCAGCTGAAGGTGGTTTGGAGGAAAATTTCCCAGGGTGGCAGCAGAGCTGAGTAGGAGCATCCACAAAGGGGTGGGCGTCCCGTGCCACTGTTGGGTGCCCCGCCCCCATGTTCCCTCCTATATAAGGAATCTAGAAGAGTTTTGTCTGTGTTTCACATAGTATCTCAGCTATATCTCTTTATTGATTGGTTGATTGAGACTGAGTCTCACTCTGTCACCCAGGCTGGAGTGCAGTGGGATGATCTCGGTTCACTGCAACCACCGCCTCCCAGGTTCAAGCAATTCTCCTGCCTCAGCTTCCCGAGTAGCTGGGATTACAGGTGCCCGCCACTACACCTGGCTAATATTTTGTATTTTTGGTAGAGAGGGGGGTTTCACCATATTGGCCAGGCTGGTCCCAAACTCCTGACCTCAGGTGATACGCCTGCCTCAGACTCCCAAAATGCTGGGATTACAGGCGTGAGCTACCATGCCTGACCTGTATCTCATTATTTATTTATCCTTAACCTTGGAATTAGTCCCTCCTACTTAACCCAGGACTGCACCCCCGTGGGTCTGGCACCAAAGCATGCTCTCTTCCCACCACACTGCCCTGCTGCAGGACACCTCAGCCCCTGAAACATTCAAGACCTCGGAATGTCATTCCATGCAGTGAAAAGAAGGCTGCTGTGGCATTGGTGTCAGTAAAGATCCCCTGGAGCTGAACAGCACCTGCAGCCCTGAGGCTTATGTCTGAAATGCTGGTGTTCCCCCGACTCCCATGCCACTAGGAGGGTGCACCTGCTACCCATGGGCCAGGTGCTGCTCCAGGCCGAGTGGAAAGGGGAAAGCAGATGGGGGCACTGATGAGAGCATGGAGGAAGAGAAGCTCGGCCCCCGGAGAGTGACCACACAGGGAGAGGAGGCTTAGGGTTGCCACCGCTGAGCAGACAGGCTCTGCCCTTACCGCCTGTGTGACCTTGGACGGGGGACTCAGTGAGCCACATCCACACGTGAGGCTGGTGATGCCATTCGAATGGTGTTGTTCTGAGAATAATGGAGACACTGTGTGTGTAACGCACGAGGACCCCAGGAGCCCTCGAAGCGTGTGAGCCCCTTTTCTCTCTGCCCCGACTGCGTTTTTGCTGTTTTTCTTGGCTGAGACTCTAGGGCATTTTCAGGCTCTTCTAACCCCTGAAACTCCACCCTAAGCAATGTTTACAAACTTGAACATGCGGAGGAAGGATGGCACACATTGCTTTCTCTCTCTTGTCCTTACTCCGTCTGTCTACCTCTGTCTCTGTCTCTAGGACAGCATATTTCTTGTCAGCAAGTCTCTGATGGGTCCTCCAGGTCCCCGCTGCTGTGAAGAGAGAGGAGGCCCACAGAGGCGGCCTGACTGTGGTGCTGTGCTGGCAATCCAGACCCCCTGTTCCCACCTGTCATCCTGCAGGCCTCTCCTCTCTTCTCTTCTGCCGCCCCCACAGTCCGGGCTGCCTGCCTCTCCTGCTGTGGATGCCACTGCCCCCACCCTGGCTTCCCCTTGTTTCTTCCTGGTTACTGTTTCTGGCTTTTGCCCCCACTAGAGAATGAGGTCATGGGAGCAGTGGGGTACGGCAGTGCTCAGGTGGTGAACGGACCTGGGGACCCTGGAGGCTGAGGTGAATTTCCCACACCCCCTCTGAGGGCTGCTCAGAGAGTACTTATCTTGGAATCCGTCTCCCCGCAACACACACCCACTGACTCCCATGGGGAGAGGCGGTGGAGAGGACTTTAGCCTTGGTCGTCCTTTCCTACCAGGAGGATGACAGCTCCAGCCCCGTAGCTCCTTCCTTTGCCCGACTCCTGCACTGCAGCCGGATGGTTTAGAATGAGATCCAGGCCTCCCGCGTTTCCCTCCCTTCCATCTCAGGCAGATCAGGGAACTTGCTGCTTCTCAGGAAAGCAGCTGGACAGAGTGGGTGGGATGAGGAGTCCAGGTGGTCCCCAAGGCGAGCGCTGCGCAGGTGTGGGCTTTTCAAGAGAGGAGATGAGCTACAGCTGCGGAGACTCATATCAGGTTGAGAGAGCAAAGGAGTTAAGAAGTCAAGTTGGCCAGGCACCTGTAATCTCAGCACTTTGGGAGGCCGAGGCAGGTGGATCACTTGAGGTCAGGAGTTTGCAACCAGTCTGGCCAACATGGTGAAACCCCATCTCTACTAAAAATTTTAAAAATTAGCCAGGTGTGGTGGTGGGCGCCTGTAATCCCAGCTACGTGGGAGGCTAAGGCGGGAGAATTGCTTGAACCCGGGAGGTGGAAGCTGCAGTGAGCCGAAATTGCACCACTACACTCCAGCCTGGGCAACAGAGTGAGATTCTATCTCAAAAAAAAAAAAAAAAAAAAAAAAGTCAAGTTGTCCTGCCATTCATTCATAAGAGGGGAAACTGAGGTTCAGACAGATTAACCCATAGACGGATAGAACTTTGTATAACACTTTACTTTTAGATTGTTTATTTATTTAGAGACATGGTCTCGCTCTGTCACCCAGGCTGGAGTGCAATGGCACAATCACAGCCTTGACCTCCCAGGCTCAGTGATCCTCCTGCCTCAGCCTCCCAAGTAGCTGGTATTACAGGCACACTCCATCATGCCTGGCTAATTTTTGCATTCTTAGTAGAGATGGGATCTCCTTGTATTACCCAGGCTGGTCTCCAACTCCCGGGCTCAAGCAATCTGCCTGCCTCAGCCTCCCAAAGTGCTGAGATTCTAGGCATGAGTCACCACACAGGCCACATCTCTTTACAATTTACCAAGCCTAGCCACAGTCTTAAATGGAAAACATCTACTTAAATGAGAAAACTACAAGAGCACAGCGCCACCATGCAGCACATTTGCTGACTCCTTTAGCACGTAGGTGCGGACACCTGCTGTGTGCAGGGGCTGTGCTGAGCGCAGAGCACTCCGTGAGCTCGCAGCCTTGCAGGTTACCTGGAGCTGCACCATCTCATTTGCCCTTACAACTTTCTGAGG